ATTCCCCCGCCCTGCCCCGCCCGACACACAACACACAACCTTCGAGGGTGGGGCCCCTGGGGGGGCGGTGGAGGGAGCCCCGAGGAGGAGAGATTGCGTGGTGGGGGGGGTTTGCCTTCGCCGCCGCCGCCTCCTCCTCCTCCCAGCCCCCCTTCCCTTGGGCCTTTGCGAGGTGGGGGGGGAGAGGGTGCGCGGTGTGTGTTTGTGTGTTTGTGCATCTATCTGCTGGCCTCCCTGCAGGCGGGCTGGCGGAGGAGGTGGACGAGCGGGTGCTGCACGCGGCCTTCATCCCCTTCGGGGACATCACCGACATCCAGATCCCGCTGGACTACGAGACAGGTGAGGAGGAGGAAGAGGAGGAGGAAGAGGAGGAAGCACCGGCACCCCAGTTGGGCTACAAGGGACAGAGCAGGGAGGGGATCCAGGGGACAGGCACCCAAAGGCTCCTTCCCGCTCTGAGAGCTTCCAGGACATCACTTGACTGACACACACAGACACACACAGACACACACACACATGTCCATCTCAAGCTCTGAGAGCTTCCAGGACATCACTTGACAGTCACACAGAGACACACACACACACACATGTCCATCTCAGGACGCTTTCCTACGCACACCAAGAAGCCAAGGACCCTCCAGCACCTCCCGGGTAGATCAGGCCTTGCACCCGGGCCACTGAACGGTGCCCCTGAGAAGCAGCAGAATTGGTGCCAGGCACCCCACCCCACCCCTGCTCCATCCTGAAGCTGGGGAGGAAGGGAGAAACCCCTGACCCTTCTCTTGTATCTCTGCAGAAAAGCATCGAGGCTTTGCTTTCATCGAATTCGAGCTGGCTGAGGTGAGCGACAGCAGAGGGAAAGTCCACTCTTGTCAGCAGAGTCTGTCCCTGCCTTCTTCCTCCTCCTCTTCTTTTTCTTGTGTGCTGGTGAATTGCTGGTAGGGAAAACATTGTGCACATGCAGACCTTGGCCATGTCATAGCCAAATTGTTTCTTTCTGTTTGTAATAAGTACTGGCACAGCTCCATCAGGTCGGAATAAACTGAATATTTCAAAGATGTCCTCTTCTTCCTTACAGGATGCTGCAGCTGCCATCGACAACATGGTAAGCTTGTCTTTAGGTGATTATTTCACTTTGTGGAAAAGTTGAATCCCCCCCCTTGCAAATATTTAATATCATTTGATGACGGCCTGCTTGGATTCCATTTCATAGGGAGGAACCTTTTCTGTAACAGCTTTAACATCCTTAATTCTTCTAAGAGAAGTTTAATCAGAAGACTTTTCCATATAGGCTTTTCCAGAGGGTTGTAGACTTATTTTTTTTCCAGTTAGAAGATGGTGGTGAGATTTAAAGGCTGAAAGAGCTGCTGTTTTGGAGATCATGAATTTCTGCCTGTTTTCCTTCCATTGGAGATTGTCATTTTGATAGTTCTCCAAACAGCCGCAAATGTTTCTTTGAATAGCCTTACAGAAATACTTTCAATAATAATAATTAATGAAATATTAAAGCGAACTTTCAGTCCTAAACTGAAAAAACAGGGGGGCCCATGAGACCAAGAAATACACACCTATTCAGTGCGAGGGTTTGCAACGCTGTGAGCTGCTGGACTTCAGATTTATTTATATTCCTTCGTGTCTTTACTCAGGTTAAGTTACTGAAAAAAAATATTGTGGCTATGAAAATGATTTTAGGAGGTAGAAGCAAGAGCCAGAGAGTTCCGTGTCTATTTTGGAAACCAGAAGCCAACATCCTATTGTGGCTTTATGTTTGCATAAGTGTAATTGCGTAAAATGTAGTGGTGAATTGCTGCTAGTTAGCAAGGTGCTGCTTCCATCCCTAGTTCACCTGTCAAGTTGTGTGGGAGGCACCGGGCTAGGAATGTGAGTGGCAACTCTGTAATTAGCAGCAGCTTGTTGCCATGAGTTATGCAGTTGAATTGTGCCAGCGCAATTCACAACAGGATTCTAGCCAGAGAGGTGGGGGTGGACCAGATGCTTTATGAGGGCCAGGGGGATAAAACCCACCTGAACTGTGAAATGTTCACAGAGTGACCTTCAGCTAGTCTTTAACCCTGAGAGTAACAAAACACAATGTTCTCCAACCCATTTAGAACGAGTCTGAACTCTTTGGGAGGACCATCCGTGTCAACCTGGCCAAACCAATGAGGATTAAGGAAGGATCCTCCCGACCAGGTAAGCTGTTGAGTTAATATTAGAAGGTGCTGTATGCTACCTAGTTTTGCCCAGATGTTTGGCGAAAAAAGTTCCAAGTCTTGCTGTTCTATAGTTTAGGCCATGCTTAAAAGGGGCCCAGTGACAGTTTTGTTTTGTTTTTCTTGAGTGCCTTCTGTTTCCTTTTGATAGTCTGGTCAGATGACGACTGGCTGAAGAAATTTTCAGGGAAGACGCTGGAGGAGAACATGGAGGAAGAAGGCGCAGAGCCTGCCCGGGCAGAGACCCAGGAGGTACGCTGGCAAATGCTGAATGCCAGGGGAGCAGCTTTCTGGAGACCTGGCCTCCTAGGGTAGCAGTGCAGGGTCTTGGGAGAAAGCCGTTCAGCTGGTTCCCCACCAAACTGCAGAGCCTCGTCAGCACCCATTGCAGGCTCTGTCTTGCCCTCAGTTCCGAGGGTGGCAGGGGGAAGGAGGCCCGGGCATACCGTCGGGTGGCCGAGGGCTGCTGGTTCTCCTGTCCAGCAGCTTGTCTCCTTCCCGAGAAAAAGTGAACCCGGAGGGGGCAAAGTGCCGTTAAAACATGTCCGTAAGGCTCCCAGGAGTAGAAATAATAACTCACCCCCACCCTGTTCCCAGCCCCCTTGTGTTTGGCCCGCAGGCTGCAGGATTATATATGGGATTATTAGATGATTTGCTCTGTCTCAAGCAGTTCACTTGTCCTTTGCCAGTAAGGCTTTAAAAAGTCCTTGTAAGGGACTCTCTTGGTCACCTGCAGCATTTATGGAGGAAGCTGTTTTTCTTTGCTAGGGCGAACCAGCTGCGAAAAAATCAAGGGTGAACCCCCAGGTCTACATGGACATCAAGATTGGAAATAAGCCGGCTGGTCGATTAAACATCCTGCTGCGCTCGGACATTGTGCCTATGACTGCTGGTAAGAGGTGCCAGGCGCACAGGGGTGGCTGGGTCCCCCTGGATTCTTCTCCTACTGTATTTACAAGTCTCTCCTGTGATAAGGGAACCTGCCAAGAGGCAGCAGCATCAGGCATCTGCCCCGGGCAAGTTCCACGGATGATGTGGTGAGCGCAGCTGTAAACAAGCCCCCCAGTTTAGTGAGAGAAGGATTCTCTGCTGAGTGATGTTATTGCAAGGGGCGGAAGCATTTCTGCTTATGCCGAGCTGACCATTCTGCATCTGTAGATTGGAAAAGGGAGAAATACTGTTCTCTACTTACCAGCATTTTTCACCCTGCTTTTCAACCAGGAAAAGACACAGACATAAAGCTTGAAAGGCATTGGGGGGAAGCAAGATTGGGATTATTTCTGAAATTCTGATCGTGCAATTTAGAATTTTGGAACTGCAGAGCTGGAAGGGACCCTGTGGATCATCCAGTCCAGCCCCTGTCAGGGAGACACCACGGGGAATCGAACCCCCAGTCTCTGGCTCTGCAGCCAGATAGCCAAATGACCGAGCTATCCAACTTGAAACAGGTGAAAGAGTGGGGAGCCCAAAAGAATGGGCCTGTTTTCCATTTCTGATCCTGTGTTGTCTTGCGTATAATCCTGGTCAGGGCAGAATTGATTTCTAGTGTTTTAAGCCCTGGGCAGTAAACTAGTTCTAGAGCAGGCATAAACCTTGCAAAGGGGGAAAAAAAGACCTCCCTTAAATGCTAGAGGGTGTTTAGCGCTTTATTTTTAATGAGCTGTTTATTACTGGTTTTTCTCTGTACCAGCCTTTCAACATAGCTTTACATGCAAAATTACAACACAAAATTCAGATGGAATAATTTCAGTTTGATTATAAAACTGAGGGTTCTTTACTTTCTAGTCCAGCACCACAAACACATCCAAGCAGTTGAAATC